TAATTGAAAGGATTATAATTTGACTGCTTGGGTGCATGCATGATTGTATGTATATTTGTAGATAGATATACATGATCAAGTGGAGAGGGCAGGTTCATTTCTTAGGTACATATATAACTGTAGGCAAACCAGTACATAGAAGACATACAAATATAAATATATCTATATACATTTATATGTACACAGTATTTTTCATGCCTGTACATATGTTAGAGTGTATGAATGGTACAGATTCAAATGCAATCTACCTTAAGTTTATATCAATAATTATATTATCATACATATTTTAAGCTATATATACACATTACTGCTTTGTATTCTGTAAACGAACAATGAATCAAGTTGACGTGTTTCATACAGCTCTGTTAACTTTATTTTATTAGTTATTTTTGTTTGTTTGTTTAGAAAAAATCCAATAGATCTGAGATACACAGTGATGCAGAAATAGATTGGGACCCTAGTCGTATATTTGCACTTGTTATATGCAAAAATAGTTTAAATCATAGACTAGAAAGCTGGCACACCACCACTAAAAACTAGCACGAAAACTAGCAGGAATTTAACCTATGTAAGAATGCCATAATAGGAAGAGTGTAGAGGTTGTAGCTTATATCCACTGTAAATATGTAATGCTGGTTCCATGTGCTGATTCACAACACATAATAACCACGTTGTCAGTGGAACCCAATTTATGTACTATACTTTGAAAGAAAAAAAAGGTTTTCTTCTTCAATTGACTAACTGAATAAATACAGATATATATTTACATCAGACATGTTAACTTTGTAAAGGTGCTTAATTCATTTAGGAGTTGAATGGCTTCTTTAAAAAATTAACAAAAAGTTCAGTAACAAATAAGTCAAATAATTACATAAAATGGACAGATCTCCCCCCCCCCCTCCTTACAAAGAAGAGAATAAAAAAGAAGGCATACATGCTTCTAAGGAGTTAGCCAAAAGGAATACTATTGCATATCCATTTTTTCTTAGTCTCAGTATACCCCTGCTTTAAATGCACCATCAAGCCCTTGTTCACATGGGGTTTGGTGAGAATCGCACCTCGTAATGGACAGCAGTTGCACCCCATACCCCTCCCCTGCAGAATTGTCCCCCTTTGCCCTCTACCCTTCCTGTCCTTGTGCCAAGATTCTTATTCAGACTGTGGTCAAATTATATAATAGCCAAATACATAACCGCCAATTGAAACAAAGCTGTCTTCCTGTTTTTTTTTTTGTTTTGTTTTTTTAAATTCCATTCTGTATTGGTTTTAGATATTTAAAAGTACTCTTAGTAATATGGTGTAGTATTTGAATTTATATATATATCTATATATATAATTTTTTTTTTTTCTTTCTTTCTTTCTTTTTCTTTTTTTATTACCAGTATGCTATTGTTGCATGAATGGACATGTCTTGCTCAAATGTGAACCCAAAGACTATTCTATAAATTGGAAGCTCAGAATGGGGTTTTAGCATAATATCGATAATGACTGGTTTTCTGTATATGCATTAAAAGACTAGGTAGATAAAATGTTTTTCCTTTTTTTCTGTAATACTTGTGTACATAACGTGGCCGAGTGCAATGCTGTTTCTTGGGGTTTGCCCCTTGTGGGACAGTTTTTAAATGTTAAACTCTATTTTTAACCCATGTAAAAATAGTTTTGGATCAATGAAATAGCCATTGTAATGCTGAAGAATCCTGAGATAATTTTCTATGAAAGTATTATTTTGAAGTAGTGGTTCATATTAACAAATTCCAGTAGAACCAAATAGCAGGAACAAGCAATATACTGAAATGTGTTCATAAGCGTATTTTGTATGTTGTGGGTACCACAGAGTGACCGTGATACTTTCAGATTGTATTGTGTAATGCAAGGAGTACCATAGACATAATGGTACTGGTTATTCTTGGAAGACTGTATGACAACTTTCTGCCATTTTATTTGCTGTCTCATATTAAAAGAGGGTTTACAATCAATTTGCCTTTGTTCCATTTACTTCCTATGAAGGCTCTGAAGTAATCTCAGGATTGCCTTGTCACAGTCATCTGGAGACCTTATCTGATCAGGCTTTCTAGTACTGTATTATTATTATTATTATTTTTTTTTTTTTTTTTTTATATATATAAACCAACTGCACAGAACCAGTACTCACCTTTCAAGGTATTTTCTTTAAATGTCAGAGTAAGTCTTACTTTGAAATGGTTTATATCCTGGGACTTCTCTTACAATAAAAAGGTAATTTGAATCGGTCATAGAGGTGGCTTTCACTGCAACATTAATGAATGCAGACATGGGACATAGGGACAAATGGACAATTTATTTCTTAAGCTTTCAATCAAGATACTATATGGCAGCAGTTATGCTTGAGAATAGAATAGATTGCATGCCAGAAGAAGAGCAATTTAAATGGAACTATACCATGGAAGGAGCTATTCCCAAAGGGCAAAGTTAACTGTAATTCAGCTTTAAGTACGTTTTAATTCAATTTTTCTTTGATTCCCATTTTCTCTTGAGCTATTGAATTAGGTGCTTGGAATGTCAGCAGAGTTGGTTTTATGGCAGAAGAGTTCTACGTGTACAAATAATTTTGGAAGAGATAAAAGGATAGTGTGTTTTCAGCTACAAGTGAAATATGTTTTAGGTCATCCCACTAATGTTATTGCTCCTCCTGTTTCCAGAAAATTTTTTTGGTTGAGGAAACATCATTGTTGCCAAGTATTAGAAACTATAGTTTGCCTCCATGCGGACTACTAGATTTTGTATAACTAGTATGAATAATTTTGTATCTGAAATATGGTGTATTTTGTAAGATGTGGTTGAAAATTACTGCAGTAAGACGTGTCTAGATGACTGAGACTGATTGGCAGGTATGCATTGGAAGTGATGTTAAAGGCAGACCAAACAACTGATGTACAAGTAGTTTGCCTGTCTCTTGACATACTTCACAAGTATGCCAGCTGATCAGGCTCATTCATGTGGACATGCCTATAGACCATACCTTCCTGAATACAAGACATACTACATTCCATTATTAATGAATTTGTATTTTTCAGTTTTTTCCCTTTAATTATGCGTTCAGTGAAAAACAAAAATGGGATAATGTATATCTCTCATAATTCTCCCAAAGTTCCTGCACTTGTAATCATTAACCATTTCTCTTAATTTTTTCAAGTAAAATAAATGTGCTAGACTTGGGAAGAGGAAAAGAAAGTACACAATAGGATATTGCATGGGCAGTTAACCAGATTTGTCTCATTAAGAGTTTGTTCTGTGCAGATGCATAATGAAAATAGGCAGTGTTGATATTTCATGTAATATGCAAGTTCCTATCCCTACTAAGTACAGTTAGAAAAAAAGTGAATTGAAGTGACTTCATCTCTAAATTTGCTTGCTTTTACGTCATTCTGCACGCCCCTCCTTACTGTCTAGATGATTAACGTTGGTTATCAACTTATCATAGGCTAAAATTGAGGAGTATATATCAGGAAGAGCTGTATAATAAAGTTTGAAAGTATTTGTAAAATCAACACTGTTGTACCAGTTTGAGAACAATATTTAAAGATTATGTGAAGAAACATTGGAGATGACTTTCCTGTCCTTTTGATCTTGTCACTTTTCCAAAGTTAAGTTCCTTACTATAGTTTAAGACAGTTCAGTATATGGTATGCATAAGCTATATATCTCTTTTCCACTGAGGTTTTCCAAGCTCTAGTCAGACAAAAATACAAGATATATAGCACAGATTTAATTTTTTGAGAACAGAGGGATGGGTAATATAATGAAAAAGGTTTAATGACGGCTGATTATCTCAATGTACAATCTTTTGTCTCTTCATTTCCATTTCTTACATTTCCTCCCTCCCCCCATTTTCTGGAGATAAAATGCATTGTCCATAAAGAGAACAATTCCCATTTCCATCCTTGTGGTACCTTACAAGTATGTAAAATTTATGATCCTATGTGTTAATAAAGTGCATACTCAATTTTCTATTTGTGTTTGTTTTTTAGTTGTCTCCAATATTTTAGCAGTATTTAACATTGTCCTGTGTATTTAAAGTTTAGCCGTTCCACACAGCCAGGCACAATGTTGGCACAATGTTGGCACAAGTAGGCAAACTACTTCGTAAACAAGTAGTTACCTCATTTTCACTCCAGCAATATCACCTTCACTTGCCCACCAATGTGTCCTCCAATCATGCCTGCTTGTGTGGACAGGCCTTAATATAAAGTAGTGGGGAACAGTCAATGTTGGTGGATTAACCCCCCCCCCCCCCCCCCCGACAGTATTTATATTTTAAAATTTTGGTATTAAGCAATATTTCTTCATTCAAATTAGAATGACATGGGTATTTAAATGCACTGCAATCTCTTTCATTGAATCCTGTCCCATTGTGCTTTTAGAAAATTTGTTCTATGCTTTCCATGTGTTAATTTATAATGAAAATTAAGGAATTACAGGGTGCAGGGAGTAAGTAAACATGTCATGTAATGTGAGGTGATAATGTGTATCAGAATATTTGGTTGCATTACTTGCCTAATCTGGTTTATGGATTACAGGATTATCTTGTTTATCTTTACATACCACTTGATTGCACATTGAATCCCAACAGTGTTTTTCATATTTGAATGTGATTAATTAGTCAACTTTTACAAATAAAGAATATAATTTTAAACATTATCAACAAAGAAACTTCATTCACCAGTTTATGTAGGCTAGAGGTGCCTTTGAATAATTAGTTAATTACCCCACATAACTGGAATATAAGAGACAGTTAATGATTGAGTTCTACAGTCATTTTTAATGTAAATTAAAAACTATTACAACACTTGGCTTTTTTGTGGCTTAAATTTTCATGGAATATTATGGAAAAGCTATAGTTGCAATCTTCCATTCTCATGAGCTTGCAAATGAATCAATGTAAAGTATTCACATTCTGTAACTTTGGTACATGTAGCTTATCTTTTTTAAAATATTTTAAAAGGAGGTTAAAGGAAACAGCATTTAAATATATAAATATTTGTTCGTCCAGTGATACAAAAGAGTACCAACTCCCTGGTGACGCCTCTGTTAAATATGCAAAGGAGCAGAGAGGAGTAAAATATGACTCGTAATACTGGAAAATTTCCAACGGATGTTATTCCAGCATTATATTTTCAAAGTATATATTTCATAATGTACAAGTCACCGGAAACTGAATACAATAAAGATGTTTTGTAGTATCACCAGGGACTATCACAGTCGCGACGGCCACGGAAGTCACTTCAAGCTTACATAATGCCAGGTATCAACTGTAAAAGAAAGCGAAAAAAAGAAATGACACTCCAGCAAATTATAATCTTTTCATGTAAAAAAAAAAAAAACTGCACTCATGGGCTTTTAAAAGTCCATTAAAAAATCTCCCCCCCCCCCCATAACCCCTAATGGCAGAAGACATTTTGAAATATCATTCCTATTTCAGGGCCTTGTATGAAACAAATGCATTCATCCATGTCCCTACACCAAGCGTAGTAATCAGAAGCAAGCAAGTCTGCAATGCTATTCAATGTTTTTCTATTTTCTGGGGTCTGTATTTGTAGTAATTTATTGCGCCTTATCAAAATGATGTAATATTTTTGATGGCAGACTCCACATTATCTCTAGTTTAAACTCCAATACCAGTAACACTTATTTGTGTGAGAGCATTTCTTCCCCCCTCATATTCAATTTTCCATAACACATCCTGCAATCTGGCTACAGTGAGCAAGAATAGGTTCCTGAACATGGATATAGTGTCTTCCCTGGATCCAGTGTCTTCCTGGCATGGGTCATGTATGGTACACACAACCCTGATTTACCAGTAGAAATAATGGAAGAGCCCCTTCCTAAAGACCCACTGAGTCACCCTCCCTCCAAAAGCTTTGTGCATTCATGACAAGATGTTTCTGTTATCCAACACTAGGCAACAATATCCCACAGTAAGACACTCCTATCAGCCCAGCCCATGTCCAAATTTTTCTATGAGATATTCCTATCAGCTGCCCTTAAGTTAAATTCTTCCATGAGGAAAAGTTTCCGTTACTCACCCCAAGGGAAAAAAAATCATGATGGATCAAAAAAGTTATAATGAAAAGCCTGTTACTCATTTTGATCCATTCAGGCTTTCAAAACAAAGCTTGAAAATACAGGCTTCTAATACCTAAAAAATAAATATACGATGGATGATATTACAAATGTTGAGAATATGTCGGCAAAGACCTACCAGTAATTAAACGTCCCATCTTTCAACTTACTTTTAGGATCCACAGGCTGTGGCTGGCCAACCTCTGGGGCACCATCAATGGTGGTTTGGGCTTCATTCACAGGAAGCTTCTTTGCAGCATGGGGAACCATAACAGACCCAATGTCAAGGCCACCAGCATCCGAATTGCCTTCTACTAGGCTTTTCCAAGCTTCATGGGTCTCAAGGATAATCTGTAAAAACAGGGTCACATTGTTTCCTATCTTAAAAGCCCAATTACTTGAGTAAAAAAAAATGACATACTTTTAATCAATCTATCATTAATTTGAAGATTTTCCAAAGTTTGGTTTCATTGCTATCTGCGCTAACACACCTTGTGGGCAAACTCCCTATCCTTAGCCTCTCCATTGAATGCAAACTGATTCTCAGGCTTGCCATCAGGAATTTTGTAGATCCTGAACCATTCCACAGTTGCCTTCAGGAAGCCTGGCATGTGCTTCTCGACATCAGAAATGTCACTGAGTTGGGGAGCCAGTGGGTCATTCACATCAATGGCAATGAGCTTCCAGTCAGTCTCTCCTTCATCAATTAAAGCCAGTGTGCCCAATACCTGCAAGACAGAATCAGTGAAGAAGGTTAAGAAGCTGGATACAGGAACATTAGGCCTTTCTTTTAGTACCCCAAAACCCCCCCAAAAATGTATATAATGATGTTGGCGAATGGTACATCTGAATTACCAAAACAAATTTGAAATATCACACTGTGATTGGCCAGCTGGAGTGTATCACTATTTTTTATGCTAGAGCCTGACAAGATAAAATGGTTTCAAGGGCAAACCTGAGGATGTACCAAAGTGTTTGGGTTTTTTAGGATGCTACAATTTTATTTATTATTTATTTTTTTTATAGACAATTATTCTAATGCTACTGACATTTTCAATATAAATATAAGATGCCAGAAAAAAAATTTAAATATCAAAGAAAAGGGTAATATTGATAATTGGCCTATTAGTGACTTGTGGAGCCATCTGTAAGTAAAAACAATGAATAAACTCAATGGACATGGCATGAACATATATGACATCCCCGGTGAATGAGAAACTATTTTCCCCACTCCATTGGGAGTCTGTAGAGGAAAGCACAAACGGAGGAACTTACCTTGACTTGGATAACATCTCCCCTCTTGGCCACACGGTATCCAATCTCGCACACATCAATTGGGTCATTATCACCTTTGCAACTTGTAGCCTCATCAACGTGGTTGGGGTCCTCCCATGTCTGAAACATCAGTTCAAAAAATGCAACATGCAACATTAATTGACTTTAATGGAAGTTAAAAGTTGCTACATATCCTACATGTATAAGACATTAAAACCTGCCTCATTAAAGATCAAGTTATCTTGCTAAAATACTCTAAAATAACACAAGTAAATAAACAAAGATCAGTAGTAATAAGTAAAATTTCAATGGTAATTGCATTAGTCCAGCAAGTATACAATTACCCAAGTTGAAGGGAATATGTAAAAATATTCTCTCATACAGAATGAGACAATATTTTTGCATACATTATTTATAAATGCCAATTTACTTCTTACCATACATACGTATATGCCTATACATACATGCCAGATAACTATATGTAGCTACTAGGGAAGTTAAAATTCAGTTTTAATTCTACATCAAAATTCATACTGCTCCCTAGCTCTCCCCAGAAAGTATCCCATGGCCCCCCTTACGGGTCAAGGGGCACGCCTGATACAGAAAGATCGAGGTAGCAAGATAAAAATTAAAGTTCAACCATAATAATAGTATAGAATTTAGAGTAACCCTGAAATATTTAAGAATAACAAAATAAATATAACCTGGGGCAGTGCTCCGTAGTTCCAGATGTATCCGTGGTGTGGGAAGCAGTTGGCTACGTAGCGGAGTTTCCCTTTCTTTACGTCTTGCTTGATGGGGTTCAGGTATTCCTTGGTGGAAATCTGAGGGAAAAATAAAAATAATCAGATTCACAATTAAAGAAAAGTTAAACAGACTGACTAAAATTTACCAAATGATGTAAATTGGTCTCCGGTTGCCAATGTTCCGCTGTTTTCCTTGACTTACAGGAAGTTTCAGTGGGGCAATAGACCTACCTCCATCTTGGCATTGGTCCAGCGTGGCACCTCGACCACCATGTTGAAGATCTTGTTGCCCTCGTTGGCAAAGAGCGGAATATCGTGGAAGGGCGAGATGGGGCCATCTTCATTCTCTGCAAGGACAAAAAGGCATTTATAGCTTTTTGAAGGAGCTAAAAAATATTCTAACCATGTATATACACATACACGCATACACATACACATATACACGCATACACATACACATACACGTATACACGCATACACATACACGTATACACGCATACACATACACATACACGTATACACGCATACACATACACATACACGCATACACATACACATACACGCATACACATACACATACACGCATACACATACACATACACATACACGCATACACATACACATACACATACACGTATACACGCATACACATACACATACATGTATACACACATACACATACACATACATGTATACACGCATACACATACACATACATGTATACACGCATACACATACACATACACGTATACACACATACACATACACGTATACACACATACACATACACGTATACACACATACACATACACGTATACACACATACACATACACGTATACACACATACACATACACGTATACACATACACGGTTACACGCATACACATACACATACACGGTTACACGCATACACATACACGTATACACGCATACACATACACATACACGTATACACGCATACACATACACATACACGTATACACGCATACACATACACATACACGTATACACGCATACACATACACGTATACACGCATACACATACACATACACACACGTATACGTATACATATATACATATATATGTATGTATAAATATATAGACCTTGTGAACTTCCGAATATATTTAACATACAAAATATATACTGAATACTGGAATGCTCAAGTACATATTGACAATTCATTCTCCACAGAAATTGGGAAATTGGCAGAGAAAAGAGTAACTTGTGAAACACATTTTGTCGTAGTGAGAATACTATTCACCTGCGACTTTCCATGCTGCATGCCGAGTTATTTCTGGTCTTTACTTTGAATTACTGAATATGCGATTGATATAATTACCGAAATTAAAAACCTACGGAAATAAATCTTGTAGTTGTTAGAGTTGGGTATCCCCGTCTCCCTGATAGACACATTAAGAGGTCTGTACTGGCTGGTGGACTCGGGCCACACAACTAGGGGTGGCCGTGGAAGCCTCTGAACCGGGTAGAAGTCCAAGGAGTTGAGGTGGTCTCCGGGAGGCGAGCTTCCTGAGGCGGAGGTCCCCTGGCAGCATGGCTTACTGGAGGAGGAGGATAGAGGAGTGACCTCTGGCTCTTTGCTGCCTGCGGGTGCCACTGCCACCGCCACCGCCTCCCGCGAATCCTCATCCTCCTGACTGTCGTCGTCCCCGCCCCTGACTGTGGTGGTGACGCGAACCTTGAACCCGTCAAGGAAGGGATACGACAAAACCGGGAGAGGCCGAGGCGGCGACGAGGCGGAAGACAAGTGCGACCACCGCTGCGCCACCGGGGGGCCTGGGGGAGGGCTAGGCCACAGGGGTACCAGGACTCCGTCTGGCATCAGAAGGGTGATGTTGTTCTTGACCGAGGGCGTGAAAAATACCCCTGCTCTCCCCATACACAACACGCTCGCCAGAGCTAACCACGGCAACAGTCTCTGCATGACTGTTATTTGCTCAAGCAAAAGAAATGAATAAAAAAGACAAAAATCCCTTCGATTGCCCTTTCAGCACATGAGCTATAATCACGGTCGGTAAGGACGTTTATAGATGAATCAAATTAAATCTGCCAGAGGATCTTGCCAAAGCGACCAATAGAATATAAAACCTTTACCCTTAACATGCAAATCTACTCGAGAATCGCGTCACCACGGAGACCAAAGTCAATCAGAATGAAGTCGCTAAACAGCGGCGGGGCACAACCACGACTTGGGACCCAGTGTCCAACGCCCTGGAGAGCGCGCGAGCGAGCGACGTCTTCGCGCGTCGGGACAGGAGGGGAGCGAAGAGCGAGTCGAGCGAGACTGCGCGGGGCGGCCGGATGCTCGAGCGTATATGTGTGCCGCCTGGGTCTCTCTCTCCCTCTTGACCCCTCGGCCCCTCCCCACGCCCCCCCCTCACCCTACTTCTGCCACAGCCTCCACGCCATCTCGATTATTTCTCCATTCAATCACTTTGAAAAAGCAAGCTAAATATAGTAAAACATAACATGACATACAAAATGAACGATAAAACTTTTTAAAATGTTAATAAAACCCCATAGTAAAATACTCTAATTAGCGAAATAATACCAATTATTTTCTAGAAACATTTGATAGAATAACAAGAGAAAAACAATAAAATAAAAAAGGAAGGAGGGAACTTTCCTCGTATATCGCTACACGCTCTCCACAATTCTAGCTACCTCATTTTGACGTTTTTCTCACAAACTCAACCCACTTCCCCGCACAACCGCTCGTGGAGTGACGGAGGCGAAGCATAATCTGAATTTGATTCCAAGAACAAAAGGGAACTGGACGCGCGGCTACGAACATCACGGACCAGGACTCGTCTCAGGCGGACGGACAATACAAACACCTGCACATACACACATGGCGAGACAGACGTACAGGCACAATACAGAGGAATGTCGACAAAATAAAATTATGTAATTATTTAACAACAAAATCCCGACAGGCCCATGATGAGCATACGAAAGGAGAGCGGGATTTGTCTGACAAACTTGTCAACAAAAAGAATCTTTTTCATAGATAATGTCCCTGATCCAACGTTCTCCTTTGTAAATTTCACCATTCAATAATCTGCCATCAACCCTTCCCATGTCATTTCATCACAAGAAATCACAATGATTACAGCCCGACCCTACGTCCCCTGCCACTCTCCCGCGCCCTGTACCTCGAGGGAGTCACACCAGAGGCACCTCCGTCACCAGCACCGCAACAAAAGGCACGGCGCCCTTGGAAGGATGACCTCCATCGAGTGGATAAGCTAATCACACGAACTTAGTTAAGTCAGAAGAGTCTAAAGAGTCTTAAGTCTACCCTGCCCGTAGCCGAGTTCATCTTGACCTTTCGCCGCCGCCCCGCAACGGATACCCTTGTGCTCTGCTAGTTCACAATCGCTTTAGTCACGTTACTCGTAGAGTTTTTAATGAGAAGATACGAAATCAAATCGAAAATGGAAAATCCAATGTTAGAAACACGGTATAATAAAAACAACTATTCCGCAATATTTCGGTTTACTTTAAATCGTCTTTTCAATTACTCGATCAATATCGCCTAGGCACAGGGCTGAGAACGCTACCATTATGCCCTGAATTCGCATGGTAATTTAGAGATTCACATACATTATTCTTGCGACTCACTAAATGCCACTTACACAAGATGATTACGGGCATGCTCGTACCCACAACAGCATTGCTCCGCACAAGCGTACCGGATCTCAGCCACGAAAGTTTTGTGGCCTTCACCTAGACCTCAGGAAAGGTCGCCGGTTCGACGGGACGCTCCTGTAGTTTCAGTTAGGATATCCATAGTCGGCCAGCGCACGCAAGCACGGCGGGAAAGGAACGGAACTCTTACCATACCACACAGACCTTAGCACTTTGATAGTGGGTTCTGGAGGCTGACAACGAAATGGGGCCATTGCAAAGAAAAATTAAATAAAGAGGAAAACGCAAATCTAAATGGAACATGAAAATTTAAGGAAACAGGGCTACCTAAATCCGTACTAAATGACAGCTATCAATGCACATGGCACTGCGACACAGCCGCACCTACAAACGCAAATTGGCCAGAGAAAGTATTCGCAAAAGTGGTCCAACTACGGAGGTTGGGAGAAAAAACTCGTTTGTTGCATCGCCTCGAAGATTAATGCAAGGATTTTTCTTTCTTTCCCTTAGCAACCGGGGTAAAGTAGAACTGATGGAATGAGAGGGAGGGAGAATGAAAAGAAAAAGAAAGAGGGAGGAAAAGAAAGGAAACGAATGGTGGGGGGGGGAGGCACAGGAGAAAGGGGAAATGAGAGGAGGGGGAGGAATGATAAAAGGGAGAGGAAGGAGTGGAAGGGAATATACACAAGTGTAAAGGTAAAGTGGGAGTGGAAAGGGAGGAAGAATGGAAATGGGAAAGACAAAAAAACGAGTGCGAGGGAGGGAGAACGTAAACATGAAAACAATAGAAAGATAAAGAGTGTGTAGTGTGTGGGGGGGGGGGGGGGACGAGGAAGCAGAATGTGTGTCCACGCGGCATGTGTGTGTCTCCGACGGGAGTAGACAAGGCAGCGCCCATGGGACCCATTCAACGAGTCACCCGACCACCACGTGTCGAGGCGCCCCTAGGAACATCCTTCACGCATGACAAACAGCGGCCGCCGATAGAAGGATTAACAGCATAGTGCGAGCTCGGCACCAAAACAACCGTCACTTACACAGACCCACAGATACGGAATGAAAAAAAAGTACGAAAATAAAAAGGTGCCGTGATCGTTCAGTCAGTCGCTCCGTCTTCATCGGTGAGGTGATACACATGCTATACGCGGTCTTAGATACAAATTAAAAATCAATTATAAGACAACAGTGAATCAGATATTAGATACTGTATGAAGTCATACTCGGCTCATTTCTTGAGTCCTCATCAAAATCCCAGAAGAGACGGGAGTGGGTAAAAGTGGGGGAGAGAGGAAGTGATGGGGAGAAAGGAGAGGTGGAGGGCGGGAGAAAGAAGTGAGGAGGGGATGGAGACAGAAAGCGGGATTGAGGGGAGGAATGAGGGGGAGGGAGGGGAGGGAGGGAGGAATGAGGGAGGGGGAGGGGAGGGAGGGAGGGGAGGGAGGGAGGGAGGGAGGGAGGGAGGGAGGGAGAGAGGGAGGGGGAGGGGGAGAGGGACAGGGACAGGGGAGGAAAGGAGACAGGGAGACAGAAACCGCATGCACAAGTGAGACAGCAAGTGCCGCTGATCCATGCAACTGTCCTCGAGTAGACGTGCACACATGTAGAGATAGATGGGGAAGACAGGAGAAAACGAAGGGAGAAAGGGGGAAGGAAGGGGAGAGAAAACGAAGGGAGA